GCACACACCTGCGACACGCCGAACGTTCGACAAGCGACAAAATAGAAACCGCGCACGACAAAATAGAAACCACGCGGGACACACAAAACGACCACGTTACACGCGACTAGCGATAATTCGCTATTGACTTGACACACACACTTGACATCATGACCCATCATTCACACACTATTATAAGCATGAAATATATATTTATTTCATGCACTCATTCCATTCCATGCACACACGCATGCACGCACACGGACAACAAGCCGAGTGCAAACCGTAGGGTTGCACCAACATAAACGGGGCCGTAGCGGGGTCGCAAGGGGCCTAGACGGGGCCGTAAGGGGCCAGAAAGGGCGCCGCGAGGGGCCGAAAGGGGCCGCGCGAGGGCCGTAAGGGCGACGCGAGGGGCCTTAAGGGGCCGTAAGGGCGGCGCGAGGGGCCGTAGAGGGCGGCGCGAGGGGCCGTAAGGTCGGCGCGAGGGGCCGTAAGGGCGGCCAAAGGGGCCACTAAGGGTGGCTTGAGGGTAGGGAGGGCACACAGAGCGCAACTCGGGCAGGAGTGAAGCGCGCTCCGGGCAGGAAAAAAAAAGTATCGTGGTGGGCCCTAGGTAGCGTTCCCACTAGGGAACCTGCTCGATACCATGACGAGAAACGAGAATGAATGCATTGAGCAGAAAGGGGAGTACAAGTAGCAAACCCTAAAGTGTTGTACCCCATATGAACTGCCCCACTACTGCCTACACAGACTATAGCATATATGGCTGACAGTTGCCGCTGCTGCTGCTGACGTCGCTGTTGCATTCGCTGCTGCGTTCGCTGCTGCTATGGCGGCTGCTGACTGGTTCGCAAGAAGCTCCTCTATTCGCTGGAGTGCCGCTCGCGTCTGGTCCACGCTGTCAGAATATTATTCTTATGTTCTAGCCTGTAGTGGGGTGCTCTATAGCGAGTACAACCCTTCTAGGGTTTGCTATTTGTATCCCCATTTCTGCTAGTTCAATCCTCTTTCCTCTTTCTTTCTCCTAACTTTGTCATGCTATCAGATCAGGTCGATCCCCTTGGATCGATCCTGTGGGTGGGTTACCACCTCGCTTCCGCTGCTACTTTTTCCTCCCGCCGTGCGCCCCGAGGCGCGCGGCGGTTTTCTGCCCGCCGTGCGCCCCGAGGCGCGCGGCGGTTCTTTGCCCGCTGTGCGCCCCGAGGCGCGCGGCGGGCTTCTGCCCTACGTCGCGGCCCCGTCCTGCGTCGCGGCCCAGCCCCTCGAAGCGGCCCCGACCGTCGCGGCCCCGCCCCTCGACGCGGCCCCGCCCTACGTCGCGGCCCCGCCCTGCGTCGCGGCCCCGCCCCTCGAAGCGGCCCCGCCCTATGTCACGGCCCCGCCCCGACCGTCGCGGCCCCGCCCCTCGACGCGGCCCCGCCCTACGTCGCGGCCCCGCCCTACGTAATTTTCCGTACGGAATTATCACCGTTTTTCTCCATTTGGCGATTTATAAGAAGATTTGCAACGAAAAGATATGAATTTTAGGCGCTGGTCATCTTACTGTGAGTCGAGTTGACTGCAGAAATGACAAGGGCTGATTCTGTAGGTCGCGTTATTCTCCCTTAGTCGAAATTCGCGTTTGATCTCGGCCGTTGAGAAGAAATTCGATCCGACGATCCAAATTCCAATGTTTTTGGGCGAAATTCTCGAGGCCGTTGAGATTCGAATCGATCCGACGGTCGAAATTCCAACTTTTCCGCCACTGGACCTGAGGAGTGTTTGAAAACCGGTTCGAGGGGGACGTTAGAAAATAGCGCGGAACTGGTTTACGTACTCGAAATCGGCGCCTTCCGTCGTCGCCCCCGCGGTTTTAAAAACTAAGTTTTAGCGGTCGAAAAACTTCGCGTGCAAACAGGCTCTGAATACCAAGTGTGAGGATCTAGGATCGAGCTCAGAAAAGAGAATTGTAATTGAATTATGACCTGAGTACAACACGAGGCTATATATAGGCTCGACTCAAGGCCCCGTAACCAGGTGTTACGCGAAGGTTCCGCGGGCCGCGTAGCGTCCCGAACAGATCCTTACCGAATTCGGTAGAAGGCAATTCGGTGGCAACCGGAAAGCCAGAATTCGAGGCACGCAACCTAGCTTGGTGCTATAACTATAATAAAATATAGGAAAGCACCTAGCCTAGGGAATCAAGCAATTCATGCATGCATATAATTATCCTATGCTAGAAATAGCATCATAAAGGCAAGCAAGCATAGCTGGCTTAAGCCGTCGTACTCTCACAGCCAGGATGACATCCGTAATCTGTTTATGTGGCAGGTTGTTGGTGTCTTTATGGCATCTGTATTTTTTTTTCCTCCACCCCTCTCGACACCATTTCACCACCCTGCACTCCCTGAGGACACTTCCATGTATGGAAGGACTACATGATAGCCATGGCCATGGAGAGGGGTGGAGAGGTGTGGGAAGCAGGGCTCTCGTTATCAGGGTAAAATACCCTTTTTGCATTGTCTGGCGGTCGCTTTTTTTCAGTTACCCTTTCCCAGGCAGGGTAGTGGGATTTTTACCCTAGGCCATTAAGTGTAATTTTTTTTTCCCCTTTGAAATACAGCGTGCCACAAACTTTTCCCTGACTGTACAGGGTACTTTTTTAGTTACACTGATACGGATTTCTTGCAAGCGAGGATTTCAAAACTTAACAGAATGCGAAACGGACAACAAGACCACCAGTCACAAAAAAACAATATCACCCCCAGGTGGAGTCACGCGAGTTTCCACGCGTCCTGCCACGAAAGTACAACATTGGTGGAACAGGCAGCCACCATGCCAGCGCAACACAGAATCAAGGCCAGAGCAGCATTTGACAACTGCCAGACTTGTCTAGTAGCGCGCCGACAGGACAGCGGGGCTGCCATCCTCCTTTCGTGCTGAACAGAACACACCCTGGCAGCCACAAGTGACCACCGTGAGCCATGCAATTACGCGCTCCGGGGTCATCACGGGTGTTGGAGGAGGGGGTCGTTATCCCAAGAACACCCCATCTTTCTCATCCTTCTCATACCATCAGTGTGAGAACCACCCACTGGGAGGTCTCTCACATGTGGTAGTCATGCCTGCCGAGCAAACTCCTCAATCTCCTGCGGTAGTGCGTAATGGCCTTTCTGTGCTGGGAGTTATTCCTCCCCCTTCTGAGACATACAGCGTGCCCATCTCGCCGTTGCCACCACCCGCTTCTCCCGTGCGTAGTGTGGGTATTGTATACCCGTTCGAGCCGCCGTCGACTCCTGCTGACTGGGAGCCGCACCCGTCAATTGTTCTCGTGCCAGGCGGTGGTGAAGGGTCGTCTAGACCCTCCGCGGCTTCACCGTCCACTGTGAGCAGCACCGCGGGGAAACGCCCGCGTGTGGGAACGAAGTACACGCAGCAGCGGCTATGGGGAGCCCCGCCACCCCGCAAAGAAGCTTCACCGCAACGTCCAGTAGCGACCCAAGACGAGGCGCCCACTAAAACTACCGGTGACGTTCTCTACGAGACCATAAAGCATCGCTTTGAGACGGAGTGGCAGGGTAAATTTAAGTGGTTGCGTCTTATTCGGATGCCTAACGGAGAAGCAAAACTCAAGTGTGACATTTGTGTGCCGCATGGCGACCCCGCAGCTCACACTAGCTACGGTGTGAGAGGTGAAGGTGGCCGCGACCTGCAGATAGGAAGCGTCCGGGCCCATTCCTCAACACGAGCCCACAAGAGCGCGGTCAAGAACCAAGAAGAAGCTGCAGCTCAGAAGGAGAAACAGTCGAAACTAACACGGTGGCAGTCAACTGACGCGTCTACGCGTCACATCATTCGCGTGCTTCATATTGCGCTTTTTATCTGCAGGGCGGATGCACCGATCTCGATGTTCATCCCGCTCTGCTGGTTCTTGGCAAGGGAAGGCCTTCCAGACCTTCCGAACGGTGGCGGATATGGCGCCTACTACACTGAGTAAGCGTTTGTTTTTTTAATGGTAGCCACGGGTGATATTCACATATACTGATGTTGTTATCTGTTGTTATGTGCAGATATGGCTTCAGAGAGAATCTCCGGGCCATCTCAACGTACCTACAAAAACTGCAACGATCGCACTTGCTGGAGTCGCCTTGGATTGGCTTGTCACTGGACGAGAGCACAGACCGAATCTACGGCAAACATCTAATCGTTTACGCTACTTTTTTCCATGGCACGGGTGTGGTCAACGAGTTCATAACTCTCATCACTGTTGACCGTGCTGATGCACCCTCTCTGGCCTCTGCTATGGTGCAGTACCTGACAGGGATTGGCTTGGATCTACAGAAGATCTCTGCCATTTCAACGGACAGCGCTAGTGTCATGATAGGCAAGAGCAGCGGGGTTGTCGCCCGTCTGCGCATGAGGATCCCGCACCTCGCCTCCACGCACTGTGTCGCTCATCGGTGAGTGTCTCTCCATGCACTCGGTGGGAAAGCGATGCACCATTTTTAACTTCATTACTCACAACTCGTACTTTGATTACTTGGCAGGGAGGCTCTAGCCGCAAGCGATGCCGCGGATGCTATGCCTGAACTTTACATGGTTGACAACGTCATCCGTGGCTTTGCAGATCTCATCTCGCGATCCAACGTCAAGTACGAGAAGTTTCATAACATTCAGCATGTTTTCTGCAAGTCGAACCTGGAGGCACAAGGTATACACACCGTTCGTTGGCTGTCACGTGGTGAGGCCGTCCGACGCTTCCTCGAGATCCTGCCTGCAGCCATCGTGGTGCTCAAAGAGTACAACAACGACCTGTACGAGATCGCCACGTCGTTCAAGTTTCAGTGGTTGCTCCGGCTGCTTGCTGACGTGTTGTGGGAGCTGAACCATCTGAACCAACGGTTCCAGCAACGGCAGGTAAACGAATCTGAAGTATATAGACTGCTTACGCCCAGAAAGGTGTGTCGCTAACCCTGTCGTGTGTACTGTCTGAACAAATCGACGTCACGCTCGTGTCTCATCTAGTGGACCAGACACGGATGCGCATCAAGAACCGGTACTTAAACTTTGAGCCGGATCATCACTTCGGGAGTGGAGAGAAGATGACACTGAACGACTTCATTCAGCGTCATCAGAAGATGGACAAGCGGGAGGTGAAGGCAGAGGGCGTGGACAGTGACGGCAACCCTGTGGAATTCAGCTATACGCTGCACGAGAATCCCATCGAAGGGCAGGAGACGGACGGAGATGTAACGGCTTGTTTCAAGCTGTCGCTGAAGTTTGTGCGTGCTGTCGACAAGGAGCTGGAGTGGCGGATGAAAGACCTGGAGGAGCTGGAGGGGTGTAAGCTATTTCGGTCAGCCTCATACGTACCTGACGACGCCAAACGTGTGGGAAACTTCAAAAAATGGCTGGCTCAACTGCACAAGCTCTACAGGAAGAAGCTTCCAGGTATGCTCGTAGACCTCATGGTTTGTACCTAACTGTTTTGGCCCATTCCCTTCAGCGTTGTTTTCCCATCTGCTTCTGCTTTATTCAGTCGTAACGATCGGCACACTCTCATAACTACTCGTCTGATCGCTTGTGTATCTCCTGGATTGTTTTTTTTAATCCTCACCCTTCCACCCGATTGCTGCGAGTATAGCCCCGTGTAAACCCATACCCGTACAACAGGATTCGACTACACCAGAGCACAGAGCGAGCTCCGGATGTTCACCTCAACAATGTACTCTCAACACAACAACGAGGACTTTCACCAGGCACTCGAGAACATGCTTCGTGACAACGACTGGCAGCACTCGTTCCCGAACTTGATGAAGATGTGGCAGGCAGTTGCCGTCCTACCGCTGAGCACGGTCGAGTGTGAGAGGGGGTTCAGCAAGCAGAATTTGATCAAGACGTGGGACCGTGGCAGCATCTCGGACATCACCCTGGAGCATTTGATGCGCTGTTCCCTGCTACAGTACGACGTGGACTGGTACGAGGTGGTGTCCATCTTCAGTGCGGAGAGCGACTAAGGACTTCAGTGGCACAAACCCGGGCGAGGCTATTTTCGCTGAAGCCGTTCAAGAGTCCTCTGACCCTGTTGGCGAATGGGTAGTAGTTGCAGGTGCTGGAATGTGTGCAGAGGATTATGTAGCTGGTGCATTGCACATTGTGATTATGTAATGTGAACTCGTGGGGCGAAAATAGATTTGCTGGTGAAATCAATGTAAGGCCAAAATTACTCTGCCTTTGTCAGGGAAAAAAAAAATTTACCCTAGACATCATACTTGACTACACCTACAACCCTGATTACAAAGTGTGCCCCAAAACGAATCTGAAGCCCTGGTGGGAAGGGGTTTATTGGTCGACGAGGTGCAGCATGGTGGTACGCCTGTGCTACAACGACAGCCACACCGCCATCACATCGGCCCTCGTGTCTTTGGGGTCCTTCACCCTCTAAACCCCTCTCTACCCCACTCCACCCGTTTCTACTCCCCTCCACACCTCTCCACCGCTCTCCACTCCAGGTATGGGACAGCTACATCATAGCCACGGCCATCCACCTGCGCTACGACGGCAGCAGCACCGCCATGCTGCATCATATCGCCCACCAACTTGCCTCTGACTGGCGCACGCTCATTCCAGCCTGGACCTCCTGCCCTGAGGATAATCGTTCTTATGCTGCTGCTGCTGAATCAGCATCGACCGTTTCTCCTGCTGAAGTTGTTGCCTGCCCAGCTGTATAAGTGCCTTTTCTCTCTCCACCAACTCGCCTCTGGCGCCCCCTCATCCCTGCATGGGCCTCCTGCCCTGGAGATATCGTTTTTCCTGCTCCTGATGCTGCTGAGGCTATGGGTGCTTCTCCTGCCGAAGCTGTTGCCTGCCCAACTGTATAAGTGCCACTTATCTCGCCACCAACTCGCCTCTGACTGGCTCCCTCACATTCCTGCCTGGGCCTCCTACCATGGGGTCGTTGCCTCTTATGGTGCTGCTGCTGATAGTGCTGCTGCCGCTGAATCAGCATTGGCCGTTTCTCCTGCTCAAGCTGCTGCCTGCCCAGCTGTGTAAGTGACCTGTCTGATGTTATGGGTGCTTTTACTGATGATTACGGAGCTGCTGAAGCAACACCAAACCTTGCTCCTGCCCAAATTGCTGCATGTCCAGCTGTGTAAGGGCCTCTGCTCTACGTATCCTTGTCCAATAGGAGGACGCCGTGTCTTGTAATGTCAAGTTTGTTATGATGTACTTCCTACACTGTTTTCATTCTTGAGTCTCTGCTCTGCCTTGTCTTCTGTTCATGCAGTTGTGCGTTATTTTTAACTCAGTTTTTTAAACTCACTCGTTCTTGTGTTTGTGCAACCGTGCATAAACTTGAACTCGTATTTAAACTCAGTGGTTCTTCTGTTTGTGCAACTGCAGGTTGCGCACTACCGATAAGTCTGCCTTACATTTCTTGCGGGTCTGACTCTGTAATTATTGGTCTTAAAAATTAACCCTCTGTTGTTTCTTCTTGCTTCTTGTATCTCCTTGTACCTCTTTGCACCTCCTCGCACCTGCTCTTATCTCTGCTCACTATCAAATATGCCATGGACAGCGGAAAATCGCATCCCCTCAACATACTCACCTGTAACTAGTGCACAATCACTCCACCTGTCCAACTGCCCAGCTGTGTATCTCATCGCATCTCCCGGCACCTATTTGCACCACCTCTGACAATCAGATATGCCATGGAGAGCGCAAAGGATGCATGCAAGTGGGCCTATCGCAACGCGACACCTGGAGCTGTGCTTGGAGGTGCGTTGTTGTGCATGCAAAACGTCGAGCCGTAAGGAATAATAGTTGCATGTCAGGCGGTGGCATTTTCATGTCCTTGATGCTTGCAAAAATGAGTTGCGGTGTTTCCGACATTTCATGCAATGCACACCAACAAAACGGAGCCATTTCCCCAACTTGTCTGCCATTCAAATCTGTTACTCTTTTTTCACAACAACTGTTTACTTTTTACCAGCTGCACCACCATTTTTACCTGATTCCTCTCCCTCCCTTACCATGCGTTTCGCCCAACACCACCGCATCGCACCGTCGGCTTCTTCATGAAACTCCACAGATGAGTATCTCAATTCTCGCCTGCCCGTGGTGGACATTCGCATTGCCATGGGTGGGGTGCGCTTTGCCCGTGTTCTCAACCACATCTTCGCTCGACATAGGGCTGTACAGTAAATGCGAGTACTTCAATACTCGCCTGCCCGTAGTGGAGATTCGCATTTATATGGGTGGGGTACGCCTTGCCCGTATTCTCAACCACATCTGTTCTCCACTTAAGGCTGTGCAGTAGATACTTAGGGTTTCTAGTTTGGGAGGATTTAGGGGGTGAATAGTGTATCCAAGCAATGGGTGTACAAAAAAATCACCGAATAAATGTACATTCACGAAAAAATTGCTTCCTATCACCACTTGAAGTGTGATCGCTGATCTGCCCCTTTTCCCATGCTTCCAATGCTGAATTGTTTAGTAAAATGAAGCCTGGGACCAACTGTCTCTCCCCACCCCACTCCCCAAACACATTTAGCAGCTCAACGTGTCAGAACATTATAGCTTATGCTTTTGTGTAGGTTGTAGTGGGGTAGCCCATATGAGGTACAACCCAATTAGGGCTAGTACTTGTACCCAACTGTTTCATAGTTCATTCATTTTCTCGTTTCAATTCTCACATGGTATCAAACAGGTTCCCTCGTGGGAACTGTTCCTAGGGCCCACCAATTCGACATTTTTTTCCTGCCCGGAGCGCGCTCAGCCCTAGCCCGAGTCGCGCTCCCCCTTTTCTTGCCCCGTCGCGCCGCCCTAGCGGCCCCGTCACCTGCCTTGCGGCCCTCGCGCCGCCCTTCCCGGCCCCGATCCACCGCCCTGCGGCCTCATCGCCTACCCAGCGGCCCTCGCGACGCCCTGCGGCCCTGACGCCGACCTTACCGGCCCCGGCGCCTACCTGCTGGCCCCGCCACCTGCCTGCGGCCCCGCCACCTACCAGCGGCCCCGCCACCTACCTGCGGCCCCGCCACCTACCAGCGGCCCCGCCACCTACCTGCGGCCCCGCCACCTACCCGCGGCCCTGCCACCTACCTGTGCGGCCCCGGCGCCTATCTGCTGGCCCCGCCACCTACCTGCGGCCCCGCCACCTACCAGCGGCCCCGCCACCTACCTGCGGCCCCGCCACCTACCCGCGGCCCCGCCACCTACCTGTGCGGCCACGGCGCCTACCTGCTGGCCCCGCCACCTACTAGCGGCCCCGCCACCTACCTGCGGCCCCGCCACCTACCCGCGGCCCCGCCACCTACCCGCGGCCCCGCCACCTACCTGTGCAGCCCCGGCGCCTACCTGCGGCCCCGCCACCTACCTGCGGCCCCCCCACCTACCTGCGGCCCCACCACCTACCAGCGGCCCCGCCACCTACCTTTGCGGCCCCGCCGCCTCCTCTCAGCGGCCCCACCGCCTCCTCCCAGCGGCCCCGGACGCCGCCCTCTCAGCGGCCCCGCCGGACCGCCCAGCAGCCGAGCCGCCCAGCAGCCGAGCCGCCCAGCCGCCGAGCCGCCGAGCAGCCGAGCCGCCCAGCAGCCGAGCAGCCGAACCCCCGAGCCGCCCAGCAGCCGAGCCGCCAAGCCGCCCAGCAGCCGAGCCGCCGAGCCGCCTAGCTGTCAAGCCGCAGAGTCGCCCTGCAGCCGAGCCGCCCGAGCCGCCCTGTCCGGTAAGAGCAGCGCCTCTTTCACAGCACTGCCCTCACCCTACTGTTTGCGCTGCTAGTCTACTGCTGTCATGGCTAACCCTAGTGTCCTTGCTTTTGACGCTGAGGGTCGGGCCATTGACTTTGATGTCTGGATAGATGACCTGCAGCTTTTCTTACAGTGCGATAGGGCAGACGGTCTCTCTCTCTTTGACCTCACCTCTGGTGCCTCTCCTCCCCCTGCTGCTTATGCTGACGCCACTGTTCGCTCACAGTGGGCCACGCGCGATGCTGCTGCACGTCTTGCTGTGCGTCGCCACCTGCCTACCTCTGAGCGTGCGCACTTTAGCCAGTACAAGAGTGCTCAGACCTTGTACGCCGCTGTAGTTGCACGCTACTCCTCCCCTGCCACTGCTGCACTGAGCCGCCTCATGCTACCGTACCTCTTCCCTGACCTAGCTGCCTTTCCCACAGTCGCTAACCTCATTACGCACCTCCGCACTAGTGACACTCGCTACCGCGCTGCGCTTCCTGCTGAGTTTTGCGCCAAGACCCCCCCCCCCCCATGTACATCACTCTCTACTACATAGTCACCCGCCTCCCTGACTCCCTTCGCGTAGTCAGGGACCACTTCCTCTCAGTCTGTCCCACCACTCTCACTGTTGACCTCCTCAAAAAGGCCCTCTTAGCAGCGGGGAAGAGCATAGTCGCTGTAGGAGCCTCTCGTGGTGACCCGCGCACCCCCATCTTTGAGGGGTGTTCCCCCTCCCCCCTTTTGCCCTCTGTTGCCTCTGCTGCTGCGGCCGACCTCGTTGGGCTTGAGTCGGTCGGTGCGGCGTCTACCCCTAGCGGGAGACGCCGCCCTGGCAGAGGCAAGGGGGGCAGGGGCGCTGGAGGAGCTTGCGGGGGCGGTGGGGGGGGCGGTGGAGGCGGCGGAGGGGGTGGGGGTGGCGGTGGGGGTGGTGGCGGGGGTGGAGGTGTCGGTGGCGGCAATGGAGGCGGAGGCGGCAGCGGTGGCGGTGGGAGCGGAGGTGGCGGGGGTGGCGGCGGTGGAGGAGGCGGTGGCGGAGGAGGTGGAGCTGGTCGGGGTGGCGCTGCGCCGAGGGTCGACTCCGGTGGTGGTCAGCGTCAGCAGTAGCAGCAGCGCACTCGTGACATCCCCCCCCCTCAGCAGCTCCGTGAGTGGTACGCTGCACGCCAGCGGGGTGGGGGTACTGGTCCGTGCACCTACGTCCTCCGCACCGGCGACAGCACGGGTGAGCAGTGTGGGGGTGCGCACCCCACCCAGCGCTGCTTTGGCTGCCTGAGAGACGCTTGCCGTCACCAGTTTCTGGAGGCCACGGAGATCCCCCGATGGGGTGAGCTGTCTAGGGCGGGCGTAGCTATCTTTGATCTTGACTTTGATGCTATTCTTGCTGCCGTGTATGCTGTGACTATTAGTGATGAGGGGGACTGTTACCGGTGTTTCCCGCCCGACCCGGGCATTGAGACCGCTGCTCTAGGTACTGGTGAGGCTTCTGCTCTTGGTGCTAGCGAGGCTGCTCCTCTAGGTGCTAGTGCGTGTGCTTCCTCCGGTACTGGTGAGTCTGCGCTCTCAGGTACTGCGTCGGCTTCGGCCTTCCACACCTTCACACTTGACTCGGGGGCTTCTCGCTCCTTCTTTCGAGACCGCACCACACTCACGCCGCTTGGTCGGCCAGTTGCAATCTCCCTGGCAGACCCCTCTGGGGGTCTTGTCCTTGCTCACTTCTCCACTGTCCTCCCTTGTCCGGCGGCCCCCTCTGGCACCCTGTCTGGTCTTTACCTCCCCTCGTTCTCTATGAACTTGGTGAGTGGAGCTGACCTACAGGATGCGGGGGGTTCACAAGTTCACTCCTGCGAGTCAGCGGGTGACCCACTGCACGGACGCTCGGACAGGCCGACTCCTCGCCACGTTTACACGTCGGCCGGGGTCGAGCCTGCACACACTGACCACTGCGTCTCCTCCAGTCCCTGCGTCTGGTCAGGTAGCTGCGTCGGGTCAGGTGTTAG